TAGTTTTCATGTACAGTTTCAGACATATGCTTGTGTTTGTTTTATTTTGCTTCTTTTTTATTTTAACCCAACTGGACAGCAGAGGAATAAATGGCATCTATTAATTATCTTACAGACTGGACTAGACTATTAGACTGTGGAACCTGTACACCAAAAAGTAAGCTCCGCTTTCCAATAAATTTTTTTATCTTCGTTTCTAACATGCTTTGAATAACAGTCTAGTACATGCGTAATTTCCTCGCCACTAAACTGGCATAGTGTATGTCTTGATCATTCCATTCCATGCCATTCCGTTGCTTGACTTAATCTTGTGTACAGTAAGGAGGATGATTTACTGAAAGCTTAAGTTTTACTCACCTCATTGTACATTAAACAGCAAACAGAATTAAATCAATATATTAAAAGTAAGAAACAAAAATCTGTTAATCTGGATTGGTGGCTAAGCAGAAGATTTGTTGAGCTGATGTAAAACTTACTTTAGCAAATCATTCATTATGTGTTTAAAGGGAGAGCAATTGTTAATAAAATATGTTGCTTAGATTATATGTTAATAGACCTCAAACTTATTAACACATTTGAAATTAACATTTTTGTTGATATTAAAGAGTCTTAAATGACTATTGGTGACAACCTATTTGCAGGCTACAAAAAAAAAAAAACTAGAGATGGTCAGTCTGCCCAGGTTCAATTTGCAGAGGGTTTGTTAAATTATATTTCAAGTTTGCAAAACTTTAATGTAGCAGTGAAGCTTAAAGACGTTTATAAGGGAGAATCTTGATAGTAAATTCTGGTTATTTTCTAGGGCAATAGGTAGGATATTATCAAAAAAGAGCATTTGTAGCTGAGCACTGACATGGGAAACATTTAACAAAGTAAAATGCTATCCATGTTTTTTTTAGCTTATGCTAGGTTAAAATATGGATTAAGATTTAGTGTTTCGGAGTTATTTTATTGGGGAGTTAAATTCTATTTTTTATTCTATTTTGCAAGGGATTTTTTTTTTTATTTTGGGGTGTGCACTGTAAATTTGTTGATGACACAGGCAAAGGGCAAAGTGGTAAATAAGTAGTGTGCACCGTTGCCTTCCGGCAGTATTGATATATCTCTTATGTTCTACTGCTCCCTTCCATCCTGAGATATCTTATGCCAGTTTATACGCAGAAGTTCTCCCTAATGCCAGTCCTAGCTTGTGATAACTCATACCAGTTGCTCAATTATCTACCAATCATTCTGCTCCCACTTGTAGCCTGAGTCTCCAGTTTGTACACACAGAGAACTGGATTCAGACCCATACTCCAGAACTACTTCATTACCACTATGTCCTTCAAAGTAGTATCTTTAAATGCCAAAGGTCTCGATCACTCGGCTAAACGCTTCTCTCCATGGAAAGAAGCATCCCGGATTCAGACAGACATTATTTGTGTTCAAGAAACTCACTTCTAGGCAACTACTACTCCTAAATGCTCACATCGAGACTACCCACACGTCTTCCTGGCCAGTGCCCCAGAAAAGAAGAGGGGTGTGATGGTGGCAGTTAAGAACTCTGTTTGTTTCCAATTCAGAGACGTAATTTTAAATTCTGACGGTCATTATATTGTCCTCTCTTGTGAAATTAATGCAAAACCATATACCCTTGCATCTATATATTCACACCAGTTAAGATTTATAAAGAAAGTGTTTCATGCAGAGTGTTAGTAGATGCTAACCAGAGAGACTACACCTTCTTTTCATCTAGACACAAATCTTACTCCCACATTGATCTCTTCACGGTGGACCAGTGGCTACTTCAACAAGTGTCAACCTCTGACATCTCAGACATAACTTGGTCAGACCATGCTGGTGTCTCAATCATGATAGAAGAACAAGGCACCGCTGCCCCAATGTATATTTGGTGTTGTAATACAAAATTGCTGCAAACTTCCACCACAGCTAAGATACTCTCTTAGCATCTCTGGAAATTTTTTCAAAATAACACCACTTCAATGACGGACCCATGCAATGTATGGAATGCACATAAAGTCTTCATGAGGGGAATTCTAATTCAATTAGGGTCCAGGGCTAAAAAACAATATAACTATGATCTTTGCAAAATCCACTCTGAGATTTTGAAAACTCAGAATAAGATGAATCCCAACTCTAACACCACCTCAGCCCTTCTCAAACTGTGGAACGAGCTAAGTATTTGACCAATATGATAAATATCTCCGTAATTTAAAATTGCACACTTACGCAAACGCAAATAGGGCAGGTAAATGTCTGGCATACTGGATTAAAGCCCAAAAAAGCAAAACTAGAATATCTCATTTGATCCACCCACTATCTAAACATAAAATTATAAACCGACAAGATATTGCAAATGCTTTCGCGGTTTACTATGGATCACTCTACAAACTTAAAGATGGAGATTAATAATTTTCTATCTTTTATAAATTTGCCAATCTTATGCCCTAATCAAATGTCCTGGAAAAATTCCCAATTTACCACGAAGAAAATTGTGAAGATCATAGAAGCCCTACCTAGCGGTAAAAGCCCGAGTCCAGACGGGTTTTCAAATGAGTATTACAAAACCTTTAAACGTATTTTATCTCCTCATCTTCTTAAGATGTTTACCTATACGGTGTCCACAGCCACATTTCCCCCAGAGATGCTGAAAGCTTACATTGTTACTTTGCCCAAACCTGGTAACGACCCAACCACTCCATCTAACTTTCGGCCTATATCACTCCTCAATTAAGATGTAAAGATCTACGCAAAACTACTAGCACTCAGATTGATGGGCATCATGCCTGCTCTGGTGCAGCCTGATCAGACGGGCTTCACCAGGGGGAGACAGGCAGCTGACGCCATAAGGCGACTTATTAACATTATTCACTATGAAGAGATGAACCGGCTGCCTTCTCTGCTACTCTCCATCAATGCAGAGAGGCTTTTTATACAGTGCACTGGAAATACATGTCCCTTGTTCTGTCGAAATTTGGATTTAAAATATTTATTTGTTGGATTGGATGAATGGAGGTATTACCAGTTAAACCATTTTGTAGCGAGTCTTACACAACCGCTGAGGCTATTGGAGGATATGAACCCATTTGAAAAATTAATAAATTGTGAGGAAACTCCTAAACGTATCACCTCAAGGATATACAAGATTCTTATGGATCTGGAAGGAGCAGACACCCTCTGGGGTTTTTGGGAAAATGGGAGAAGGAATTGGGAATAGACATGAACCCACAGCAAAAGAAAACTGTCTTTAAATTAATACACAAGGCGACAAATATGCGCATGGTAGAAATGAACTATGAATGCATATCTAGACGGTATATAACACCAAGCGTAGCCCATAAGCAGCAAATAGAAAATCCCCTGTGGTGTTAGAGAGGATGCGGAGAAAGGGGTACAATGGAGCATATATGGTGGAGCTGCCCAAAAATACAGAATTTTTGGAGGAAAATAGCTCAATTTATTCAGGAAATTTGTGAGGTAAATTTTCAGAGAGATCCGTGGAAATGTTTATTTTATTATATTGAGCCCACATTGTAAATACATAAAAATAAAGTATTATATCACTTAGTCAGTGTGGCAAAGGGTGTGATTCCTAAGTTTTGGCAGGCGATTGAGGGACCAAAAAGCGGGGATTGGATAGATAGAGTGGAGAGTATTAGGAGGATGGAGGAATTGTGTTATATGGAAGAGGATAAAATAGGAAAATTTAGGAAGATATGGAGTAGTTGGATGAAATTTAAAACCTCGAAAATATATACAGAATTGATTAGAACAAGGGGAAATATAGAAGTTAGAAATGCGCTACCTAATTTCATAAGATAAAGAGATATTGAGACAGAAGAAAAAATTAGATGGAGAAGAGAGGGGGGAAGAGGGAGTGAGGGGTAGGGAGGGGGGTGGATGGGAGGGAGGAGAAATAGGGTGTAATGGATTATATAGGTATCATGTTATAATATTATTTATATATTTGTTTCTTTTTGTGTGTCATCTTTTTTTTGTATAATAATCAAATAAAAATTTAAATTAAAAAAGAAAAAAAAGAAATTTGAATTTACTGGTAATTTTTACTCCGCTATTATGGCACTGTATTCCTGCCCATCAGCACAGGTTTACACCTCTAACATGTTGTCAAAATTTTTACATTTTTCAATATCACCAACGGTACAAGACAGGGATGCCCCCTGTCCCCTTCAATTTTCAATCTAATGATAGAGCCACTTGCTGAAGCACTGCGTACAGAGCCTGGTGTTTCTGGATTCTCCTTTGGTCCTCACCCCCACAAAATAAATTTTGTTTGTGGATGACATCATTGTGATGTTAACCGACCCCTTAACCTCTCTTCCAAACACTCACAGTATACTAAATCGATTTATCCAGCTTTACAAAGTAAATTTTACTAAATCGTTAATACTGGCAATTGAAATAAGCCCTACTCTAAAAAATAATTTATCGAAAATACTTCCGTACACTTGAAATAATGAGGGGATCCCTTACCTAGGCATCATACTCACGCCAACCATATATTCATTGGCAGCTGCCAATTTTCTACCTTTGACTGCTTAAATAAATAAAGAGCTTCAGCGCCTATCTCAATTCGAACTGTCATGGACTGGGAGATTAGCTTCCTTTAAGATGACTGTTCTACAACAAATATTATATCTGTTTCGTACCATATCCATCCCAATTAAGAAAACATATATACAGTCATTATCTAAACTTCTTAAACAATTCCTATGGAAATATAAAAGAGCTAGGTGCTCACATGCTCAATTGATTAAGCACACAAATGTGGGAGGGGCTGGCATGGTAGACGTACAAGACTATCTTCTCGCGGCACACTTGGACCAATTGAGAGTTTGGTTTAAGGGTAGAGATGAGCGAATTATTCAAAAATTCGATTCGGCTGATTCGGCGAATTCGCGGAAAAATTCGATTCGAGTCGAATATATTCGCTGCGAATTTAACTTATAAAAAGGGTGTTTCTAGGCTTCAGAGAGCCTTTATATTAGTGCAGAACACTGTACCTTTAATTTAAATGCCCTTGGAGTCTGCTGGGGAAGAGAAATAATACTGTCAGTCAGTATGACATGCAGATGAGTGCCGTCGATCTTAGAATCACTGCACACTTCACTCATTTGGGCAGTCACGGGGCCAAAACCAGAGTGTGGAGCCACAGTGTGGCGGTGGAGGCAGCAGCAATGGGAGGCCATACAGCACCCTATGAAAAAATGGAACCCACCAGCAGTGTGAGGAGACCTGAAAGTGGCACATGGCAGAGTGTGGCGATGGAGACAGCAGCAATGGGAGGCCGTACAGGGACCCATGACACACTCTGGACCTGGCAGCAGCATGAGGAGGCGGTACAGGGGCCCATGACAGATTACGGGCCTGGCAGCAGCATGAGGAGTCGGTACGGGGGCCCATGGCAGATTACGGGCCTGGCAGCAGCAATGGGAGGCCATACAGCACCCTATGACAAAATGGAACCCACCAGCAGTGTGAGGAGACCTGAAAGTGGCACGTGGCAGAGTGTGGCGATGGAGACAGCAGCAATGGGAGGCCGTACAGGGACCCATGACACACTCTGGACCTGGCAGCAGCATGAGGAGGCGGTACAGGGGCCCATGACAGATTATCGGGCCTGGCAGCAGCATGAGGAGGCGGTACGGGGGCCCATGGCAGATTACGGGCCTGGCAGCAGCAATGGGAGGCCCGTAATCTGCCAGCAACCCCTATGACAAAATGGAACCCACCAGCAGTGTGAGGAGACCTGAAAGTGCACATGCAGAGTGTGGCGATGGAGACAGCAGCAATGGGAGGCCGTACAGGGACCCATGACACACTCTGGACCTGGCAGCAGCATGAGGAGGAGGTACAGGGGCCCATGACAGATTACGGGCCTGGCAGCAGCATGAGGAGTCGGTACGGGGGCCCATGGCAGATTACGGGCCTGGGCAGCAGCAATGGGAGGCCATACAGCACCCTATGACAAAATGGAACCCACCAGCAGTGTGAGGAGACCTGAAAGTGGCACATGGCAGAGTGTGGCGATGGAGACAGCAGCAATGGGAGGCCGTTACAGGGACCCATGACACACTCTGGACCTGGCAGCAGCATGAGGAGGCGGTACAGGGGCCCATGACAGATTACGGCCTGGCAGCAGCATGAGGAGTCGGTACGGGGCCCATGGCAGATTACGGGCCTGGCAGCAGCAATGGGAGGCCCGTAATCTCCAGCACCCTATGACAAAATGGAACCCACCAGCAGTGTGAGGAGACCTGAAAGTGGCACATGGCAGAGTGTGGCGATGGAGACAGCAGCAATGGGAGGCCGTACAGGGACCCATGACACACTCTGGACCTGGCAGCAGCATGAGGAGGTGGTACAGGGGCCCATGACAGATTACGGGCCTGGCAGCAGCATGAGGAGTCGGTACGGGGGCCCATGGCAGATTACGGGCCTGGCAGCAGCAATGGGAGGCCGTACAGGGGACCCATGACACACTCTGGGGACTGGCAGCAGCATGAGGAGGCGGTACAGGGGCCCATGAGAGATTACGGCCTGGCAGCAGCATAAGGAGTCGGTACGGGGGCCCATGGCAGATTACGGGCCTGGCAGCAGCAATGGGAGGCCATACAGCACCCTATGAACAAAATGGAACCCACCAGCAGTGTGAGGAGACCTGGAAGTGGCACATGGCAGAGTGTAGCGATGGAGACAGCAGCAATGGGAGGCCGTACAGGGACCCATGACACACTCTGGACCTGGCAGCAGCATGAGGAGGCGGTACAAGGGCCCATGACAGATTACGGGCCTGGCAGCAGCATGAGGAGTCGGTACGGGGGCCCATGGCAGATTACGGGCCTGGCAGCAGCAATGGGAGGAGCTGTACAGGGACCCATGACACACTCTGGACCTGGCAGCAGCATGAGGAGGGCGGTACAGGGGCCCATGACAGATTACGGGCTTGGCAGCAGCATGAGGAGTCGGTACGGGGGCCCATGGCAGATTACGGGCCTGGCAGCAGCAATGGGAGGCCCATAATCTGCCAGCACCCTATGACAAAAAATGGAACACACCAGCAGTGTGAGGAGACCTGAAGTGGCACATGTCAGAGTGTGGCGATGGAGACAGCAGCAATGGGAGCCGTACAGGGACCCATGACACACTCTGGACCTGGCAGCAGCAAGAGGAGGCGTACAGTGGGGCCCATGGCAGAGTGGCGAAGCGTAAGCAGCTTAAATTCAAGGCCATACAGAGGCCTATGTAAAAAATAATAACATGTTTGGGGCATGATTCATGGCGGATTTAGTCAGTTGTGTCAGGAACTGGTGGTGTTTGAAATCCAGGACTAATCCACGCCTGATTCATTTTCACAAACGTGAGTCTCTCCACACTTTGGGTGGACAGTCGTGTCCTCCGCGGAGTTACAATACCTCCTGCTGCACTAAACACGCGCTCCGATGCCACGCTACTGGCCGGGCATGACAGCCTTTCAAGGGCAAATTCAGCTAGTTGGGGCCAAAGGTCAAGTTTCGTTGCCCAGTAGTCAAGGGGATTGTCTACCTCGGTTGGCAGGGTGCTGTCCAAGTAGGCCCAAGCCTGTTGTTTGAGGTCCTGCTCCAGGTCCACCTGATGCTGCTGCTGCTGCGGCTGGTTAGTAGTTTCCTCACTGCGCTGGTGAAGAGAAAAGCTACTCTCTCATCGACTGCAGACTGAGGCATGGGCCGCTGCTGGTGGAGCTGCCACTGCTCCTACCAACCCCACCCCTCCCCTGCTGCCATGGCAGCAGAACGCGAGCGCACAGGGCCCACAGTGTCTGAGGATGGACGTTGGCGCAGAAAGGCAGAGACCAACTGACTACATAGGTGGTTTTTATAGTACGTTATTTTGGCCTCCCTCTCAGCAGGTGTGAAAAAGGCCACCATTTTTGAACGGTAGCGAGGGTCCAACAAGGTGGACAGCCAAAAGTCAGCCCTCTGTCTGATGGTTATTATTCGGGCTGTCGCTACGCAAGCAACCGAGCATGCTATGGGCCATTTGTGCCAAGGAATGCGAGGGACTCCCTGCCTCCATCTCCATAGCATACTGCCACGGTGCGTCTGGGTCCTCTGTCTCCTCCTCCTCCTCCTCTACCAGATGCTCCTGCTCCTCCACTCCTGTCCGCTGAGTGGAAAAACCACCCATTTCACTCAATAATTCCTGAGCACCAATGTCCTCCTCTACCTCCTCCTCTTCCTCCTGTCCTGCCCCCACAGGGGTCATGTGGCGTTGAGATCTGTGCGCCACGTCTACCGCACCCTGACCAGCCATTGTTAACAGCATTTGTTCCAGGACGTGCAACAGAGGAATGACGTCGTTCATCCCATAGTCCTGCCGACTCACGAATAGTGTGGCCTCCTCAAAGGGCCTGAGCAAGCGGCAGGTGTCACGCATGAGCTGCCAATGGCTGACATCGAAGTTACACAGGGGAGTACCTTTATCCGCTTGTAACATCAGGAAATCGGTGATGGCCTTTCGCTGTTCGTAAAGGCGGTCTAACATATGTAGGGTTGAATTCCACCTTGTTGCAACGTCGCAGATCAGGCGATGCTGTGGAATTCCGTTCTGCCGCTGCAGCTCAAGGAGTGGTGTGCTTTTTGCGGTGTAGGAATGGCTGAAATGCATGCAAAGTTTACGTGACATTTTAAGGATGTCTTGCAGTGGGATGGTGGATTTTAGGAACCGCTTGACAACCAGATTGAACACGTGAGCCATGCATGGCGCATGGCACAACCTTCCTTGACGCAGAGCAGACACACACCATGTTCTTTCCGTTGTCGGTCAACATGGTTCCGATTTTCAGTTTGCGCGGAGACAGCCATCTGTCGATTTCTCTGTTCATTACACTCAGAAGTTCCTCCCCTGTGTGACTACGTTCGCCAAGGCATACCAGGTGCAGCACAGCGTGACACCGTTGCGCCCTGCACATGTGATATGCCGGTCGGGTAATGGGACTTGGCACGGGGGTGGCGGCTGAGGACACGGCGGAAGAAGAGGTGGTAGAGGCGGACATCTTTGCTGGACCAAGCACGTGCAAACGTGGAGGCAAAAGCGGCGTGACCTGTCCAAGTTGCTGGTGCGGCTGTGCCGGCACCACGTTTACCCAGTGGGCCGTAAATGACATGTACTGTCCCTGACCGTAGTTACAGCTCCACACGTCGGCGCTGCCGTGCACTTTGGCAGAGACCGACATGCTCAAAGACTGGCCCACCATCTCTTCTACATGTGAATGCAGGGCTGGCACTGCCTTTTTGGCGAAGAAATGCCGGCTTGGCACTCTCCACCGCGGCGCGGCACAAGCCATCATTTCTCGGAAAGGTGCTGAGTCCACCACTTGGAAAGGGAGGGACTGCAGCACCAGCAACTTGGACAGGAGGACGTTCAGCTTCTGCACCGTCGGGTGCGTGCTCGCAAACTGTTGTCTCTTGGAAACGGATTCCAAGAAAGACTGCTGACGGAATCCGTGAAGAGGAGTAGCAGGAGAAGGAGCATCTGAACGAGCGGAAGATGCCAACGAGCGACAATTCCACTCAGCAGAGGTGTTGGAGCCTTGACTGGCTGATAGAGGGCGATTGACGTCGGGTGACGGAGCAAGTAACGGAGCGGGTGATGGAGCGGGGGCTGGGGCAGGCAGAACCGCCGTATCTTTATCACGGTTTTCCCAGGCCACCGAATGGCGACGCTGCATATGCTGACGCAACGCTGTAGTCCCATCATGGGCCCCCTGGCCACGCTTGACTTTCTGGCCACATAGTCGACATACGGCTACATTTACTTCCTCGGGCGGCTTGACGAAAAATTGCCACACCGCCGAGTAGGAAACTTTGCCCCCGCTACTCCTCACTGGCTGACTGCTACTTCCTCCGTGCACACCGGCACCACTACTGGCCGTGGTGGTAGGCTGCAGTGGAGCTGGTGCTCTACTCCATGGCTGTTTGCCTCCACTGACACTGCTGCGACCCTGCTGCCTCCTGGGCAACCCACCGACTGTTTTGCTCGCTGCCAAGCTGGCACCCTCTTCTCCTCCTCTGCCACTCCTCTGCGTGTTGTCTGACATACTCTTTAATTCAACGATTCTGTGTCCCTGAGTAACGATTCTGTGTCCCTGAGTAACAATTCTGTGTCCCTGAGTAACGATTCTGTGTCCCTGAGTAACAATTCTGTGTCCCTGAGTAACGATTCTGTGTCCCTGAGTAACGATTCTGTGTCCCTGAGTAACAATTCTGTGTCCCTGAGTAACAATTCTGTGTCCCTGAGTAACGATTCTGTGTCCCTGAGTAACGATACTGTGTCCCTGAGTAACGATACTGTGTCCCTGAGTAACGATTCTGTGTCCCTGAGTAACGATTCTGTGTCCCTCAGTAACGATTCTGTGTCCCTGAGTAACGATTCTGTGTCCCTGAGTTACAATTCTGTGTCCCTGAGTAACGATTCTGTGTCCCTGAGTAACGATTCTGTGTCCCTCAGTAACGATTCTGTGTCCCTGAGTAACAATTCTGTGTCTGTCCCTGAGTAATTCTCCATGTTGGTGTGATTGTGGACAAATAGGTAACCTGCTACATATACTTTGGTATTGTTCCAACC